GGAGGCTTTGGCGCTGGATATGATGGAACCAGAACAAGTTGAGGATCTTACAAGTGAGAGCTACTGGTGGATATGAAGGGAGGCAGGGTAGGGGATTCGTGGCTTTGTTATAAGTCAGATATGTTCTACTACAAACCCAAATGTCTTTTGAGAAATATTTCAGTTGTGTGCAGTTTCACTACAGGATTCTAGATGCGTCCATTCTGAAATATGGAAACCTTATTTTCTATTGCTGCCAATTTTAAGGTAAAGAAAAAATTGCTCACTTTACCAGCCAAAATTAAAATTGAATCACTTTTTTTCCTATGGTGAGAACTGTTTTCTATGGAAGTCCTCTCTTCAAGATTCTCATTAATATGAGAATTATGAGAAATAAACAAGAGAATTATTCTGCTGGGGGCAGTGCTGCCACCTGGTGACTGGGAGAGTTTGTATGTAACTGTCCTGTATAATCAGAGTGGGTCAGGAGGGAAGGGACCACAGCAGGCCATCTGGTCCAACCTTCCTGCTTAAGCAGGGTTATCCTACAGCACATTGCACAGGGTTAGTTCCAGGTAGTTCTTCAATTATTTCTCCAGTGAGGGATACTTTACAACCTCTGTGGGTGACCTGTTTCAGTGCTCAGTCACCTTCCCAGTAAAGTCCTTCCTCATGTTCAGATGGCTCTTCCTGTGCTTCAGTTTCTACCTATTGACTCTTGTCCTGTTGCTTGGCACCACCAGGAGCCTAGCAGTATGCTCTTGACACCCTCCCTTCAGATACTTAGGTGCACTGATGAGATTCCCCTCTCAGTCATCTCTTCTGGAGGCTGAACAGGCCCAGTTCCTTCAGACTTCCCTCATAAGGAAGATGTTCCAGTCCTGTAATCATCCTTGTTATCCTCTGCTGGACCCATTTCAGGAACTCCACATTTCTCTTGTACTGGGGAGCCCAGAACTGGACACAGAATTCCAGATGTCCAAACTCTTGATATTACCAAGAGCTGTAAATTTCTCATTTGGGAGTATTGTAACACAAGTATTTGCATTTTTGCATGCTTGCAGGACACTTGCAAACTAGTTATTACAAAAGCACAGTTGGGTCTGGTGGTAGTACTGAAAAACAGTCAGACTTGTTAGCACCAATGCAGCTTTAAGAAGCAGGTGTTCTTTATTACAGTGCTGAATGCATGAGAGATGTCTCCACCAAAATTGTGCATCTCTAGTACAGAAAAAACTGTTTTTGTAGGTTTTTCCAGAAGAAACATATATGTGGTAATCATTTCCCCAAGAATCATTAACATGTGTTAGTTCTCCTTTGTGCACATGTTCTTCTGTCCCAGGGGTCTCTCTGGTGGTTGTAGACTCTCAAGTTACAGCTGAGTGCTTGATGAACTGGTGCTACTTCCCAACATAGAACAGACTTGGCATACCTAGAATGGTTCATATTTTTTGAGTCCCTTCTTGGGGAATGTTTAACATGATAGTACAAAATGAAGTATTGTGTGGTTCCATACCCTAATGGTTTTATAGAATGAGCATTGTATATTTCCCAGTGGGTGAACTGATAGTCTACACAAGGCCATCCCTGTTGTCAGATGAACTTTCTTGTGATCACACTGTTCCTGAGAGGGCAAATCTTTATCTTTTGCCAGTGCCAAAGTCTGAACAGATGAGCCACAGACTGGGCAACCTGGTGGACGAGTTTAAGCAGCTGGTTTATCCCCCTGACTACAATCCTGATGAGAAGGGTGTAAAGCGAAAACAAGGTAAGTAACAGTGGTGCAGACACAAAACATAATGTCTGTATTCTGTTCAGAAGGTTCTGTGTTTTCAGTTTGTCTCATAGTTTAAAGAAGCTGCTTGTGCAATAACTCTGCCCATCTCCACAATGAAATATTATATCCAGTATTGATTCTTAGAGAGTAGAGAATATTGTGGTATCCAGTTGGGGACCTGCTGGAGCAACAAACTGCAGAGTGAAGTATAGGAAGTAACGTGGGTAAATGACTGCAGAAGATGTATATATAATTTCAGCAACTTTCTGTTTTATGACAATAATAAAAGCACTCATGCTTTCAGTTTGTCTTGGTGAGGGAGCAAACTTATGCATGGGCTGTTTAGCAAGTCCAAGATGGGCATCTTAAGGGCTAAATATGCAAGTAATGCTGAAGTCCATGTGTAATTTGGGAGTCTATGAAAGACGGCATAGTGAGTGTCAGCTGAGCTCCGTGTGGAATCATTGCATTCTGCTGTCTCAATGAGAATCCCTTAAAAGTTTCATTTGGAGGGTGATGTTTTTATTAGAACACAAAGTTTCATACTTTGTGAATCAGTTACGATCATTCCTATCAATGAAATACTGCTTGACTTACATATTGACATCTGTTTCTTAAAAGAAAACATGGAAACTAGGTCTGTGAGTGTGTGGCTGTTAGAGCATGGTGTTTTAATGCTAATGACCATTAACTATGGTATGTATAAGAAGCATTGATGACTTTCTGATTTTTAAAGTCTTAGTCATTTGATCTAAAATGTATCTTTCTAGCTTCTGACGGTCAAACTGAGAAGAGGCCCAAGGCAGAAGTCTCAGAAGATGAGCTGTGGAATCATGTGCAAAAGGGCACTCTAGGCAAGCTCACCGTAACTGTCCTGAAGGATGCATGTAGGTTTTTGAGGTTGAGGTGTGGAAGCAAGAAGCAGGAGCTCGTGGATGCTTTAACTGAACACTTTAATGGGCGCTAAACTGGAGAGGAAGGCCCTGGTTTACTTCAGTCTGCTTAGAATTTTGATTGTCTTGTGTGGGTGCTGTATCTGTTTAATTTTGCAATGAAAGCGACTAAATATTGCTCTTTCTAGCAGTGGAGAAACTTTCTACTGAGTTGTGAAACATCTCTGCTATCTTGGTTTGAAAAGATAGGTGTCTACTAAGGAAGGCAGGAGCCTTCCTTGAAATGGAAAAATGTAAACCACCCTCCCTCTGAATTATTATAGTCTTGAAATTAAGGGGCTCTCAGGGAAAGATATGGGAATAGAAAAAGAAATAAAAAAAAATTGAATTACTAGGAAAACCAAAATAAAAATGCAGCAGTACAAAAAAATCCTCTGACACAGTCAGACCCTGTTGGTCAGAGTGTTGGTAGCAGTCTGATTCAATGGTGGCTGCAGTCCTCCTGGAGTGACAGATGTGGATCTGTTGAAGCAGTGATCCTGCAGAAGGGTGTAGTTTTCCTCTGAAGGTCCAGTGGTGGTGTAGATGGGTCCAGTCTTCTGGGAATCCAGAAGAGAAAGGCTGATTGCAGTGTTCTAACTCTCAGATTCTATCCAGGTAGGAATGCTTGGCTCCTCCCCTGGGTGGAGCATCTCACAATGAGATGATGTAATTTTATCTGTCATACAGTGACTGACTCAATGGCCCATTAACAGAAGATGTCCCTCTGGAGGGAGGATGGGCCGTGGAAGAAATAAAGAACACTGCCCCACCTGGTTTTAACAGAGGGTAATAGAATATATACTTTTGTTTACATCTTGCATTGCAGCTTAAGACATGTGCAAAGTGGGATTCTGTTGACAGTAGCTAAAGGCAGAACTGAATTCCTTCTGAACTCAGGTCACCCACTGCACATGGACAGAGTTGTGCCTTGCTGGTCTCTTAATAAAGTTACACCTCTTCCTTTGCAACACTGCCTATGCCATGTGTGCGTCATAAAGACAGAACTCACTTCAGTGTTAGAAAACACAATGATCTGTGTTAATGGCACCACATGAAATCAAGCAGCAGGTTAAGTCTGTGTCCTAACAAAGGGTATAAATATGTATTACTCTCCAAGACAGTCAGTATCAGTACTAGTAATCAAGTTGGGTTCTTTTCCACCATCACCATTACAAATATTACCAGCATATCTTAAAAGAAAAAAATCATTACTGGGAGGCAGCATCCAATCCCTTGGGCAGAAAGCTGGCACTTAACAAATCTATACACACAGGTCTTCAGTTTTTAAATGGTAATAGCAAAAGCTGGTTTAAAAAGGGAAAACAAATTGTGTTTCCCGAAAGGCTACAAGCATTTATCCCAATTAAATTACTGAGATGGCATAGAGCTTTACCACCTCTCTACATGAATATGAGTCAGACTATTGTGCAGGCTTCCGTACTCAAATCTGTGCTTTAAAAATAGAAGAATAGAAAATTATGGAGCGAGACCTTGTTACATACAGTATTTTTACTTTTTTGGTCATAAAGGCTGCAGCTGGGTGTTTTGGGTTTAGATTTCCACCCTGGCATGCCCGCCCCCCTACCTGTCTTGCAGTGCAAGATGACTAAAATCAATAAAGAGTTGTTTTTGCTTTAGGAAGTTATTAATTGTTTAGTGAAACTCTAACTTTCTATGGGACACAAACACAGGATACCTGAAGTGTCCCTTTTGGACTGCATGATGTTTTTACTGTCCAGATTCCCATGTGTGCCTCACAAACTGTCCTGTGACCAGTCTGTAGTGTGGCATGTGTAGTGGAGCCAGCCGTGACCACCCTTCTGGCACTGTGACTGTCCTAGCTGTGCCAGCATGCTGCTCACTTCTACCTCCACAGTTCCTTCAGAAAGCAGCTAGCCTGCACTGAGCTCTGCAGTACTGAAACTACATTACCTGTTACACTTCTAATCAGCCTGGATTAGTTATTTGTAAAATATTTGCCTAAGCACTCAATTTAAGATTTTTTTGCTCTTGGGCAATGAAGTTACTGTAAATGCTTGTCTTAGCAAGGCTTGAAGAGTGGAATAGTGAGATTATTCTGTCTGTAATTCCATGAATTGAATTCTGCTAAGACCCTTGTTAACATCTCTCTTGGCTTGCTAACCCTCAGGCACACAGTTCCAAGCTTTGTATGATTGTGGCATGTTTGTTGTAGGTTGTTAGATCTGCCTCCTGGCTTTTTTTTTTTGTTCTTTTTAATAGCAGGCTATCACACTAAGCAGAAGTTTAAAAGAGATGGCAATGGAATGCTTCAGAGCAGAAAAAGACAGTTTTGCTTGCTCAAGTATCCTTTATTTCTGCTCCTTGTGTGCTTTTTCTTACATTAACTGTCTTGGTACAACTTGGCAAAGCTGTAGTTCTAAGCACAACTACCTCAACAGTCAGCATCAGTAGAAGGGTGCCTGAGCCCTTCTAAACCTCATACAAATAAAAGGATTCTGAAGTATTTGTATCAAGTTCACCTCAGCAAGGATTACTGGTATCAGCCATTTACAAAAATATACAAACATGATGTCATCAGTCTTTCATGAGCTGACTTCCTCTGCTTGGGATGTACTTAGTAAAGGTATGAAGTTAGTGCCTCTGTGGAAACATTACAGGAAAATTTATTTTCCCTTCTGCTATTGCATCTAACGGAGTTTCCACACTATTTGGCTTTGGCATCCTGCAATAGGAAACAGGTTTGATATTCCAACACAAAGGTTTAAACTTTTCTGATCAGAGCAGAAGTGGATTTTTTTATACAATATGCATTTAACTAAAACTAGGTCCATAAAACCACCACTAATCCAGACTGCTGTTGGTGCTCCATGCTGCTTTTCCAGGACATGAGATGATTAACAGCATTCTTTTCTTGAGACATATTAATTTATCTGAAAAATGACTTGTACTCTGTTTCCTTGGCCATGACTTAAAAGGGTTCATCTTCAGTCAAGTGACTAGAGCGCAGCAGCTAAAAAGCATGGCACTTTTTATATTAACAGCCAGAGTAGGGTAGTTGTCAGCCACAACAGGCTGCTCTCTGCCATGTCTTTTGTACTTCCTAGGAAGCCCAACCTCTGTGGTAACAGTCCATGCAAAGAAAACTGAAGGAGTACAAATTACTGCACTGCAATAGCCTTTAGGCAACCTGTGAGCAATTTAGCTTTACAAGCAGAAACACTCCAGTTAGTTGCAAATACTTCACCAAGGGAATGACAATTCTATTTAGCTTTGCAGCGTTTTTATTTTTTCTTAAAAAGTCAGTATTTAAAAATAATCAAGTTAAGAGAGTTCCCCTTGTGTACTGCCATAAAATTTCTGCTCCCCGTGCATCTCTTACAGAAGTCTCTTGTCTGGTTTCAAGAACAACGGCTGTGCTGTGTGCGCTGATTTTGGCTCCATCTGCTGCTACACGATGGCTGCTGCCTGCCTTATACCTGCCTGTGCTGCTCCATCACTTAGTGACTCCAGCAGCCTGAACACAGGGAACCTTTTCCTCAAAAGCCTAAACCGTTCAGAAACTCAGTTACTCACACCTGCTGAAACTTAGCAGAAATGCTGCAGCAGAGAAAGCTGACAGGTGGGTTAAGAAAACCCTGAGCAGGCAGACAGGAAGACAAAGGGGGAACTTTTTTTTCTTTTAAACATAAAACAGGAAACACAGTTGCACAGTCATTTTTCAAGAAGTAATACAATGAGAATGAGTATGTTGGAGTGGAATAATAGAAAAGTGGGGGAAAAGGAGGCAGAAACACTAAGAATTAAGCCATTATTAAACAAAAATGTGGCATTTTGAAATGAAACACTGATATCAAAACTATCATCTCAACTGAAGCTAAACATTAATTTCCCCTAATTTGCACTTTCCTATTTCACACACACACACACCCATGGGCACTTAGACCAAAAGTCTTTCTATAGCTTGCTGTACAGACTGGATCTGAGGCTTTAGCTGTGATCCCTCCTTGATGGTGATGGAGCAGGCGATGACAGGCCGGGAAACACCGCAGGCCCGGCCCAGGGCTTGCTTGGAGCGCACAAACACGTAAGGTACGTTCTTGTCCTCACAGAGAAGAGGGAGGTGCAGGATGATCTCCAAGGGCTCTGCATCTGCTGCCATCACAATGAACTCTGCTATCCCTCTGTTCAGTGTTTTGGTGGCTGTAAAAGAAACTGGAGAGTCAGTCTAGGTCTTTCTGGAAAGCACATCTAATGTAAAACAACTTCAGGAGATGCTGAAAGCGGCATCAGTGGGAAGAAGATCTAGTGCATGGGAAATGGGTTCTAAGAGATTACTGAGTTTCTACCCTGAGGAATTGTGAGTTTTATACAAGTTTGACTAGGTGAAGCCCCAAGCAACTGTGAAGGGAACCACTCAGTGAGCAGGCTGCACTAGAGGCACCTTCAAATCCAAATCTTTTAATGGTTCTGAACTGGCTAGGCATCTGGTAATCCCACTTACCAAAACACCACTTAAATATGCATGATTACAAACCATGCACCAGGAACACAATTTGGAAATCTACCTGAACTGCATATAAACATGGAAAAATTACAGCTTAGTTCTGTCCCTGAATATTGTTAAAACAGGCTTGAAGGAGGAGAAAGGAGACACCTGTAACTGCCAGATCTATATAAAATGAGTGATTCACAGGTACAGAAGACAATCTCTACTCATGGCATCTCACAAAATCCTGTTATGACCTGTAGCACACTGTTCAACATACAAGTCTCACCTTCATTGGCTCCCTTGCGTAGCTGCTTATAGTTGCAGGATTGCTGCACAAGATCCAGCAGTGTTTTAGTGAGCTGTGCATCAGCCAGCGGGTAAGCTTTGGGATTCACTTCTGCCTCACTCTAAAGAAAAAAGCAAAGAGTATTACAATAGGAGCAAAAGAGGCTTTGGTCTGATCAACACTGCACAGGCATCATGTCCACCACATATATTGATTTCTGGAGTCGTGTCTCATCTGCTCTGCCCATACAGAAGAAATACCATTGCATTTTACTCCTAAAAGAGTAAGGATTCTTCTTGTATCAAAGTAAAGGGGAAAAGTAAGAAAGATATGCTTTACATCAAAGTAAAGAGTCTATCTACTCACAATCTACACCCTACAAATCAGCAGCACTGCACTTATGGGGCAGTCTTCAGGCATTTTATACCACGAAGACTACACAAAATTAAGCACTTCAGTCCAAATTAACAGTGCAAATTAACGGACTAAGAAAAATTTTGAAGAAATCACCAGCAGAGCACGTATCAGGGTTATTTCTGCAAACCTCGCGTAGCTTCTAAACGCCAACATGGGCAGCGGGGTGGCACAGCAGCGAGGTCCCAAGCAGTGTTAGCGACCGGTGCTGGCAGAAGCGCGGTCTCTCCGGCTCCCGGCACGGCGATAACCCCAGACACCGAGTCCCCCGTTACCGGGTGTCCCCAGGACCGCCAGACCCCCGGGCCTCGTTCCCCACAACCGGCCGCATCCCCGCCCGCACGGCCTCCACGTGCTGCCCGCCGCGCTGCCGGCAGGCGGCCTGCCTCTACCCCAGGTCCTCCAGAGGAGGAGGGATAGGAAGAGGAGAAGGAAGAATAGGAGAAGAAGATGGGAGAGGAGAAGGAAGAGGAGAGTAGGG